CAATAGTTTACATGGACCGAACCGGAATTACAGTGTATGTGTGTTCGCTGTGACCGAGATTGAATGACTGACTCATAATTAAGATACAATCGTTAATATAAACCAAAAGTGATGAGCTAGTAAAAAGGAATACAATGCAATTATTATATCAATTAATAGTGTTAAATGACAGCAACATAACACACGTTTGGGGTGCTGCCGCCCCGAATACCTTGTCCATGCTCGATGCTGTCCAGAGGAGGGCGGTCCGACTGATCGATGACTCTTCTCTCACAGACAGTCTCGAGACCCTTTCGCACCGGCGGGCCGTCGGCGATCTAGCTCTTTTCTACCTCTACACCAACGGCCTTTGCTCCTCAGAGCTCTCTTCCATGATGCCGCCGCGCGATGTGCCTGCCAGGCAGACCCGCCTGACTTTGGCATCCCATCCTAACCGTATCGAACTTCGTACATCCAGAATTGGTCGATACGAGCGGTCCTTTGTCCCGAGGGTGTCGAGATTGTGGAACAATCTACAAGAGGAAGCTGTTCCCAGTTCTACTAACCTTAGGCAGTTCAAAATCGTATTTACAAAATTTCTTTGGGATCATCATAGTAGTTTGCGGTGTTCCGGCATTTAGGCTTCTGCCTGCGTGGCTGCTTCGATATATATATACGTATATAGAAATTTAAGTGAAAAGATATTACAGAATAAAGAAAAAGTTATAAATAAAGCAAATGAGAAACGTGAAGTTTTGCCTGATATTCCTAACAAGGTATATGTTAAGAATAAGCAGAAGCAACAGAAAACTAAAAATAAGTATAAGCAAGAAAAATTAATTAGTATAGATAAGAAATTAAAAAGAGCGGAGATAGATCCCACACATGCCAATACTTCCAAAATATCCATTTATCCAATATTAAAAGGCCCAGGAAGAAAACTTATCAATTTAAATTTACTAATATTTCAGATACCTCATCTATTTCGGATGCGGAGCAGAAATAAGAAACATAACGAACAATTTAGGAATTTTGCCAGTAAATTTAGGCACAGCTAGGCTACAAAAGACAAAACATACTTTTGTGCACTATTATGATCTATCACCTTTATATAAGGAATATGAAGATTTGAATATTCAATACAGTAATCTTAACTATAGTTACAGAAACCATTCTAAGATTAATAACGAGCTAGAAAATTATAATAAGATAGTATCTTATATAAGGAGCTTGATTCAAGAGAAAACCGAATACATTAAATCTCATTCTCAAAAGACTCGCAATAAGAGAGGACTTTTTAATGGCATAGGCTATGTAGTAAAAACAATAACAGGAAATTTAGACTCCGACGATGGAGAACGTATTGATAAAATTTTATCTCATTTACAAGAAAATCAGCACCATATTCAAAATCAGCTGAGAATGCAATATTCAGTAAACAATGAACTTGTCGCAAAATTTAACGGGACTATTCAAGATATACAGCACAATGAGATGACATTAAGAAATAACATTTTACAATTGAAACATATTTTATTGAACCAGACAACAAACCAGGATATTCTTTCAGCGAAGGACATTATCAATCAATTAATTATCCTTTATAATGCCATATTGAATATTTTACAAGATATCGAAAATTCGATAACTTTTTGCAAATTGAAAACCATGCATCCCAGTATAATAAGGACTAGAGAATTATTTCAAGAACTCCGTAAGATATCCACATTTTATAAAAATGAATTACCATTTGAAGTAAAGTATGAAAATATGCTAGATTATGAATCTATTATTTCTATCAGCTGTAAAATCGATCAGAATCAAATAAGTTATTTTCTATCTATTCCTATAGATTATCCTGAACATTTCGATCTTTATTATATGTTACCCATACCGACTCTGATGCACAAATCAGAATTCGTCACTATTATCCCAAATTATAAGTATTTGCTAAAATCTGATCGAAATGAGATCAAACCCCTGCACGAGATTTGTACCCAAGGTAGAATCTATCAATGCCCTAATCGTATATTAGCCAATCACAAAGCCCAATGCGAGAAGTCAATAATTACAGAAGATCATACAGAGCCATGTAGATACACGAAGCTTCAGATTGAAGAAAATCACATCGAATTTATTCCCGAAATTAACCAGTATTTAGCTGTATTTCTCACCGAAGAAAAATTGAAAATTAAATGCAAGGAGCAAATCGATACAAAGTCATTACTTGGCATTTTCTTAGTCAAAGCCAGTGAATGCCAAATATCATTCCAAGACAATGAACTTATCTTTCAAGACAAAACCTATGGAAAGCCCCTCGTAGCTGACAAAATGGATTTCCATTTTATGAAACAAATATCCCAGAGACACAAATTACTCTGAAAACGTTAAATTTACCAGAATTACAAGTTAATCGAATGTTACCAATTTTAGAAGAAAATTCCATAGAAAATTTTGGAAAACCCAGTATTTGGACCATATTACTATATCTCGTATTTTCAAGCATCTGCTGCATATTTTATATAGAAGATGGAGAAACAAGAAGCATCCAAGTTAGAAATCGACATTGAATTAGCCGAGATGAAAGAAGAAGGTCCAAGTCCCACAAAACGCACTAGAAGAGAAGATTCCAGTTCAAGATATAAGAAGAAAGAAATTCACCTTCCAGGGGAAGCTTCATTCTAGGGGTGGAGGAGTTATGTACCAGTCTACAGAGAAGAATATGCTGAACAAGGACTTTTGCCTCCACGTTCCTTTCTTATCAGTTACAGTATTGTATTTCATTTGTTCTTTACTTTGGTTTGTATAATGAACTTTGCAGTCAGTCTCGATTCAGAACTCATTCAATTAACATCATTGTATTTGGTCTTTCTCAAAAATAAATCTTTTTAAAAACGTTTTCGTTGAAGAAAGATATTTGAGTTATATATATATATATATATAAAATCATATACTTACTATAAATGAGCTTGCACTTAAACTCGTTTTTCTCGAAATGCTTATATTGTAACTTAGAACCTTATAACTCTAAGCCAGCGATTTGTCTAGTAATATATTTTTTATTCGGCTACTCTCCAATAGATGGCGCTGCATATCGGTAGTCACCACAAAGTCCACCGTTTTGAGTGACTACCCTGAGCTGCTGAAATCCGTTCAGTAAGCCCCCATGCAAGCATTGGATGCTTTGTTTTTTAACAGAGACAAATCAATACGTAATATTAGTTATAATAAACTAATAAAAAAAAATCTTTTCATCAACAAAATGGGGGGATGTTTAACCCCCATCTAGCCATGGGTAACACTGCACATTTTCGCGTGTTGATACAATGACACACACAGTGCTTACTGTGTCAAATGCACTATTGTGTTATGACACAGTATGTACGGTACGCGGGTACGGTGCTGAAACAAAAAATGCGCTTACTGTGGCAACACCGATCCAGTGCGATGTGCCGACGTTGACATTTATTAAAACGCGGGTATGGCACGTTTTGGTATTCTGGGAATCAAAAACGGTGACTTCGGTGAGGAATAGGGGGATTATTCAAAGTCACCACGGAATCACGGAAACAAAGTCCCTCTTGTGTCACTCCTCTCAAGCAGTTACGTTACGAGGCAACCTATCAATCTACAATCTACTAACAACTAACCTTGGAATGACTCGAACGGCCGGAATAGTAAAATCGCACAGTGTCACCCATGTGTCACCGTGCCATCCAATAGCCAATCGAACTCGACGGCGGGACGCGGAGCGGCGCTCATGAAACTTGGAACTTAACTTTCCGCCATTTTCTAAAGTGTCAGGGTGTCATTGTGTCACGACAAGTTGTTTCAACACACATGATATCGCGGAAGGTGTCGACACAAATGTGCCACTCAGCACAGTATTACCCATGCCTACCACCATCGCGGAAATTTAAGTTTCTTGATCTTTGAAGATGCGTTGCCATACACACATCCCGAACCCCAACCAGGCCGCCCTAATATTCATGTGACGTTCGCGAACGAGTCGTTCAAAATGAACGACTCATCTAAGTGAGCGATGATTTAACGACTCTTTTGTTACATATGGCTCGTTCAATTGTGCAAAGCGTGTCAGCAGTATGCAGCAAATGAACTGCGAACTGACAACGTGGTAACAGTACACACACTATCTAGGGATCCCAATTGTTTTATTTGAGATATCTCATTAAATTATACGTTGAAATGATGGGATTTGAGAGCAAAACTTGTATTTTGATTCAGAATTCCTCAAAACCGAACGCCTAAGGCCCGTATCGTCAGTCGTCCCTACAATTGTAGGGCGCCTTTATGGCCTCCTTGATTGTCATAGTTTTCTACTTCTCCGTGTCAGAACTCTATTTTGAGGTTATGTCACAAACATCTATTTGCATCAAATTGTGCTTGCTTTTGAGTTATATCATGTTTTATCAGCCTGAAATTTCCTAGAATTTAAAAAGAAAACATATCTTCACAATAGGAGAGCGCTGACGCTGACACGGGACAAGTGTAATCTAGAAATTTTTTAAGGATAGAAAGGAGTATGACAATCAAGGAGGCCATAAACGCGCCCTACAATTGTAGGGACGACTGACGATACGGGCCTTAGTATAGAGAGAGAGAGAGAGAGATCTATACAGTACGATATTTATATAACTTAGATTCACGTAAGGTTGGAATAGTTGTTGTTCATCGCCTACCTAGTTGGGGATATTGATGTGTTTGTTACCTCCTTGATGGAGGCGCAATACTCAACAAGGATTGTATTATGTGGTGACCTGAATATTGACACACGTGAATGCTGTGCGGATTTAAAATTGCTTCTTGATGTTTTTGATAGTTTTGAGCTAGCGATTACTACCAGAGAAGCAACTAGAGTATATTTATTGATTCGCATGGAAATAGGGAACTTTTATTTCAAATTCAATGCTTAGCACCTAGAGATAAGACGTTTTATGAAAATTCAATAAACAGAATGTCTTCACGAAGTCATAAATAATGGAGAATATTGAATTTTATTCGAGGTATAAAAAAATTATTTTGGTGTAACCTAAAAACGGTCAGAACTTTTCCCAAAGACCTAATAAACTCGGAAAAAAGTACGCAACGATGTGAAACTGCTGCCTATGACTAGAGCATGAATGCTGTTACATCCAACCGGATAGTGCTTCCCAGCACTCTTAAATGACAGAACAAGTTACACTATCGACTAGCGTCGAAATGCGTCATACATCAACCAAAAAACAAAAAATATATTATTTTTGCAATTATATTATGCTTATACACAAATTTATGAATTAGATATAGACATAAAAAGGTTACGACTCAAAATGACCAAACAATTATTAAATGTACGTGCATAGTTATTGATGATAATATTGTAAACCATTAAAAACAAAAACCACGTAATAGCTTAGCTATATACTTGGTTATGCTATGTTGGTTGAACCAAACAATGTACATATTGTATAATGACTATCAATTAATTTCTGTCTCTGTAATCAGTAGGTAGGCTGGAACAGGTGCCTGTGCTGGCGTTTGGTTGGTATCATGTCTTCCAGTTGTGCCTGGACTGATTGCTGGATCCGGAAGTTGGCGGGATCATATCCAACAGGTACTGCAACAGAACATTACTTCACTACTATAATCTACGAAAGTTGTTCTTTCATGTATCATTTTTTGCGAAATTTTCCACCAAGATAGCACTCAAAGCAGTGAAATCACTGCTAGAAATACCTTGCGCCCAAGTTTGTCTTTTTGTTATGTGGGCTCATCCGGTTTTCCTAGCGCTCATTCGGTTTTCCTAATGCTCATCCGGTTACAATGGATGGCCGAGCTCTGCCAAAGACCCGTTCATTTCGGCTGGACAGGGTCCAAATAACCGAGGACTGGATCTGGCACGAACACATCTCGTCAATATCGGCAGCTGCTGGGAAAAGGCTAGGCTATTTGTTTAGGGCTAAGAAGTACTTCTCTCCGCATGACCTTCTCGCTCTATACAATCACATCAGATCTAGCCTCGAGTATTGCTCACACGTTTGGGGTGCTGCCCGACTGATCGATGACTCTTCTTCAACAGACAGTCTCGGGACCCTTTTGCACCGGCGGGCCGTCGGCGATCTAGCTTTCTTCTATCTCTAAACCAACGGGCTTTGCTCCTCAGAGCTCTCTTCCATAAAGCCGTCACGCGATGTGCCTGCCAGACAGACCCGCCTGACTTTGGCCTCCCATCCTAACCGTGTCAAAGTTCGTACATCCAGAACTGGCCGATACGACCTCTCCGTTGTCCCGAGGGTGTCGAGATTGCGGAACAATCTACAAGAGGAAGCTTTTCCCAGTTTGACTAACCTTGGGCAGTTCAAAAACCGGATTATCAAAATTTCTTTGACATCCTCATAGCAGCCGCGGTGTCCCGGCGCGGCGTTTAGGCTTCTGCCTGCGCGGCTGCTTCGGTATAAAAAAAATAAAAGATCATATTTATGTTACATATATGGAATTAGTACTACTGGATATAAAATATCCATTCAATTGTCATTCAGTATGTTATCACCAGTATTGCACAGCCGGTCATCATGGGTAGTAGAACTGGCTATGCTGGCTTGAGCATAGCTGCGTAATGACAGGTTCATCTTGTGACTTTACTCCCTATACCACGATTACAGGCAATATCCAAAACGGTAACATTATTGATTAAGGTGTCCTCACCAGATCATTGAGCAGGCCGTACCACTTACACTTTCTATGATGCGCCAGATGTGTACTCATTGTAACATACTGTATATATACTAAGTGACATATAAATCCGAACACCCAGTTTAAATGGTTTTATTTCAATAAAATTGTGTATAAGTACTTAATGAAGCATAATAAGTAAATGATAAAAATTTCAAAATGATTGCACTGCTTTAAAGCCCTTTGACCTTTAATAATGTGTGGATGCATCCTGATGTGCTACGCATTCTCCAACGCGCCTAGGCATGCTTCTGATCAGGTGGTCAATGTCCTCCTGTGGTATCTCATTCCAGGCAACCACCAACTCCTCTCGAAGTGCTTCTAGAGTCTGAGTAGGACGTTGCAAATTGAGTAATCTCCTACCCATCATATCCCACACGTGCTCAATTGGGGATAAGTCGGGAGATCTTGGTGGCCATGGTAACAATGTGACATCATTATGTTGAAAGAAGTCTATTGTGACTCTTGCAACATGTGGTCGGGCATTATCTTGTTGGAAAGTTGGATCTGCCAGGGTGTCAAGATAGGGTAAAAGATGGGGTTCTGGAACTTCGTGGATATAACGCTGCGCGTTCATGTTACCTCTGATGAAGATTAAAGGTGACCTGGAACCATAAGCTATGTCACCCCAAACCATAACTCCAACAGTGTGATGAACATGTCTTTCAACAAAAAACTGTGGATTCCTCCTTTCACCACGTCGCCTTCTAACCCTGGCACGACCATCGTGCATGCCTAAACAAAATCGAGACTCGTCACTAAAGACAATACTGTTCCATTCCTGATCCCAGAGTGACCGTTGTCTGCACCACTCAAGGCGATTACGTCAGTGTTCCCGAGTTAAAGGGAGGACCCAGTGTGGCCGGTATGAAAACAAGCCAAAACTTCTCATCCGTCGGTAAACACTTCGCATGCCAATAGGTCTTCCGGGTTCTGCAAACCATTCATTTGCAATGGACCTGGTAGTGGAGAAACGGTCCCTTAAGGCCAATAATCTTAGGCGGCGATCTTCACGGTCTGTTGTTCTACGGCGGCGTCCAGTGCCCCTTGCTCTTTGCGTACGGCCTTCTCGAAGCCATGCCAACACCTAACCACAGTGTCTACACTTCTTTGCACTCTAACTGCAGTTGCCCGAAAAGAAAGTCCAGCTTCCAGAAGTCCCACTATACGGCCCCTATCAAACTCACTAAGTTGACGAAATCGTACAGGTCTCCGTACTCTAGGCATCGTAACCGATCGTAAAGGATGTCAAGAACCAAAATCCGCCAACGTTGATTCTTTACTGCGGCTGAAATATTCATTTTTAGAGCGTTAGTGAATTAAAAAAAAAGCAGTATAAAAACCGGAATGTCCAACTGATAAGGCTGAAAATTTTTTCACTTGTTATTTACAGTAAGATAAATACATTCACCAAATTTTATTAAAATAAAATCATTTAAACTGTGTGTTCGGATTTATATGTCACTTAGTATATACATACAAATTAATCAGTACCAGAAAAAAATCATTAACCACTTATAATTCTGTCTTCATCGGCTTTAATTTCAATACAAAATAATATCAAGTTGCCTTTGGAAACAAAAGTTTGTTTACTTTACTGTTAGTTGACAAAAGTATCTACAAGCTAAAATCTGTCGAATAATCCAGAATGAAAATATTTCATGCAGAACAATTTATTGAACAATAGCGGAGTGCGAGCAGGGAATACCATGCCTGAATCTCTCTCAAAAAGTGGAAGACCACGTGCATTTACTGCACAGAGGTCAGAGAGATTGGTGAGAAGAGTAAAAAATCAGGTGGTCTAAAATATCCAAAGAGACTTGAGTGCTCCACATACTCTCAAGCGCAACTCCTTCGTATACCAAGATGCTGTCGTCAACTGAGGCGGGTACACTTTGCTAATGGAAAAATCATTATTTTAGATGACGAAAAGTATTTCACTTTGAGTAATTCTGAAATGAAATGAAAAGACGGATTCTATACTGACAACGTAGAGGAATGCTCTGACAATGTTAGATACAAACATAAAGCGAAATTTGCAGATAAAATTCTTGTGTGGTGCGCAATTTCTAACAGGGGTGTATCCCAACCTTTTCTGGGAAGAGTGAGTGGTAAAGCTTTGGAAAATCAGATTTATATTGATAACTACCTTTCCAAATTGCTTCAATTTGTCTACGAATATCGTGCTAATGACCATATCATGTTTTGGTCAGACCTAGCATCATGCCATTAGTCAAGAGATTCCCAAAGCTGGCTTCGACAACACAACATACCTTTTGTTCCCAAAAACGATAAACCTCCAAACTTGCCGCAGGGCTCGCCCAATAGAGGGTTTTTGGAGTATACTTTCTAGGAAGGTTTATCATGGAGGCTCAGAAGGCCAAGATGTAGAACAATTAAGACGGCGAATTTACGAAAAACTGAGAGAAATTGATCTGAATTCCGTCCAGGACCTCATGAGATACATTCGAAGAAAGTTGCGTCTGGTAGCGCAGAATGGGCCACTCCACATAATTCGATAGTACAGTTTAGTTAAGTATTGAGTTGTAATTAATAATAACTAGTTAGGTAGTGTTTAAATTTTTCCATTAAAAAAAAATCCGATAAATATTTTGTGCCAAAACTTTTAAGACATATTAGCATCAATTGGTTCAGACACGCTCTATCCTCATTGATTTCGAATATTTTAAAATCAGCTCACGTTAAAGGCGAATACTATATAAAAGACTATTTCGATGTCTTTCAACAGTTTAGTACGATACAAAAACCACCTGGTCATGTTATTACCAGTCTTGACGTTGTCTCACTCTTCAGTGATGTCTACCTGGATCCGATCCATTAATGAACACTGGGATCAAATATGTCAGTGCTGCAATCTAACTCTGGATTCTTTTATCTCTATTTCAGAATATATCTTCCCATTATGATTATTTGAGATATGGATGTTTTTCTCCTAATTCTAATAGTCATTTCAAGTACATTTTTTCATAGTTCTGTCATTAATTTTGTATTTGTAGTGTTATTTTTTTAAAGTGTGAGAGTGCGAGTGCAGATAATCGTGGTGTTCTGCGATTTCAAGACATGGTACTTCTAACAATTTGCAAAGAGCTGGAAACGTTATGAAACTAGATATTTCCGCTGGTATTATTACTATTATGTTGATACAACGATGTAAATGGTAGGCATTAGTGGACAAATGAGTCAAAAGTGTGCACTAAAACTACGCACGTTCGGCGACAAACCATGCTTGGCTTCTAACCTACTCAAATTCGTTGAGTTCCTCTGAATCAATCATACCACGCAAGAAATAAAAACAATATCATCAAAAGAACACCTTTTTCAGTGGATAATATAGTCCAGAGACGTTATTCTTAATTTTTAGTAGACTGTACAAAACTTTTAGCTACCCATATAAAGAACATTTAAAATAAAAAAGTCGAAAAAAAAAATCATACAGTAAAAAACAGTCACGAAACAGCAAGACTCATCCTTATGAGAGAACTGACTGATTTTCATAGTTTTCTACTGTTCCGTGTCAGCGCTCTATTTTGAGGTTATATTATAAATATCTATTTGCATCAAATTTTTGATGCTTACAATTGAAAAAGAAAACAGCCTCACAATAAGAGAACGCTGACATGGAACACCAGAAATTTAGAAATACCCCAGCTTTCCGAAGGAGAGAAAATACTGTGTAAATCAAGGCCATAAAGGCGTCCTACAATTGTAGGAACGACTGGCGATACGGCCCTTAGTATTCCATCATTTCAGTTAGTAGTAAGTATATATTAAATATCATTATGTATTACGCTGTGTACTCGTAATATGTAAAATTGTTTATGAATTTTCCCACGCACAAGGACTTGTTCTTAGGTGGGATCTTCC